GACCAATAAGCAGCATCCATATGAATAGAGAAAAGATTGAAGTTGTCAAAGACGTCATTTTGCTGGAATCAACCATTAACACTCGAAAGTAGCAGTCAAGAAGTCATTAGGGAAATCTGTTGCACGAGACTTTAAAGGAGCACAAGATTGGCAGCAAGAAACTCATTGAAATGGAAAATTTTAAAGATGAAAAGTATTGAAGCTATCCGAGGATTCTCTATTTTTTTGGTGCATGTTTGAAATTTTCTGTAATGAAAGTTTTTAAAAGGCTTAATCACTTAAGCCTGGCATGTCTCTGTAGGATAAGCACAGGACCACAGATTGGTTTGAACTACAAGGCCAGTGGGTTAAACTGTCTCGAAGGCACTTGACAACAATCATCTAAGCAAATATGTTGTTTGTTGTTGTTAAGTTCTGACACATAGCGACCCTGTGTAGGGTTTCCAAGGAGTGACTATTGGCTCTGAACCCCGACACTTGTGGTTCGCAGTCGAGTGCTGATCAACAGCATCATACCAGGAGTATAACAAGTGCTTTATAGAGACCTTGCAAATCACATATGAGGGGGCTTCAAAAAGTTCAAGGAAATAATTCCATTATCTTTTAATTCCAGTTTTCCACAAACATTTTTAAGCCCCCTCATGTAAAAACGCATTTTTAAGACAAACAGAGGGCATTTGAATATGGACTGGGTACTAAACAAAACCAAAGATTTCGTTGGGTGTGATAATGATGAACTCGTTCATTTTATTTAGAGATGTTTTCTGAATTTTGTAATGGTTAAATGACATAGTCTCTGTTTTAATTTTGGTGGTTGATTTAAAGTGATTTTAAAGCTAATTGTGTAATAAACTCTAATTTTGTATGTGTGTGGCTTGAAATTTATCCTTGAAGTCAAGAAAATGATTCTGGTATGCTCTTGTCTCAGGAAGAGCATATTTCTTGCTAAGTTAAAGTGTTTTTAAAATACAGTGATTTCAAATGCACTGTGAGGGACACAGTTGTTTGTTAAGTGCTGAAAAGTCAGTTCTGATTCATATCAAACCTGTATAGGGTTTTGTAGAAATGACTGATGAGTTTGACCTCCGATCTTTCGGTCAAACTGACTTTGCAATCCAGTGCTTTATCCTACAGCACCACACCAGGACTCACTGATATACTGATACATGAGAAATTATTGTGAGTAGATATGATTCAAATCAAAGGTATCCAAAGAAGGGATAGAGAGAACACATTATATAGGCAGGGTTTAGTCAGGGCAGTCTCCTGAGGGTCATTGTGGGTTTCTCAGAAGCTTTTAGGGTCAGTCATTTGTAAATACAGGACGTTAAGGAGCTCTGGTAGCGTAACGATTACGAATCAGACTGCGAACCTTAAGGTCAGCAGTTCGAAACTACCAGCTGTTCTGTGGGAGAAAGATGAGGCTTTCTGCTCCAATAAAGATTTGCAGCCTCGGAAACCCTATACAGGGTCGCTATGAGTCAGAACCGACTCCACAGCACATAACAACAACAACAAGGGCATGACATAGAGAGCCTTGGTGTGGCACAGTGGGTTAATGCATTGGACTGCAAAGTCAATTTGAACCACAAAGTTGGCAGTTCAAACTTACCAGTCGCTCCTCAGAAACCTTATACAGGGTCGCTATGGGTTGGAACCTACTCGACAGCACGTAACAACAGTAACAAGGACAGCTTCCAGTCAGACTCTGGAGTTCCTGTTTCTGGAAAACGGCTCTGCAGAGCTAATGCTCCCAAACAGAACCTTGCCTAAGGCAAAACAGTCTCTGCCAATTTGTTTCTAGGCTATTGTTTTTTTCCAGAAAGTGACTCCAGGAAAATCAGTTCCTCAAAGGCTCAACTTTCAAAAGGACATCGAAGAGGAAATGTCAAAGCCAAGTAGACCCAGAAATCCGGATTCCAGGAGAATTAAAATGGTTTCTCAGATCTTAGCAAATTGCTGACGCTTCACAGAAAATAAACTGGAAAATCAATTTAAAAATAATTCTGCTGATACTGTATTTTATCTGAACTTTTGCTTTTCGAAGCTCATTTGTTTGTGAAAACTACATTTCTGCTGTTTTTAAAGTTTTCGAAAAGTAGGTGGATTTTATAAAGTTATTTAACAATGAAATATGATAGTAATTAAAAATGAGTATATAGGGAAAGGGGATCGTAAAAGCTCATGCCTGTATTATTACTTGTTGTTGTTGTTAAGTACTAAAAATTCACAATTAGCCGTGGTGTGGCACTGGACTGCTAACTGCAAGGTCGGCAATTCAAATCCACCAGCCACTCTTAGAAACCCTATACAGAGTCGCTATGAGTTAGAGCTTTGGTACTATGCACAGATATTAACTAACTAAAGTATCAAAACAGTACAATGGATAGGTGCTGTTGTCACCACTATTTTATAGATGCAGAAACAGTCATAGAGAAGCTGTATTATTTGCCCAAGGTAATTCCTCAGCTAAGAAGAGAATTCTGATCAGCCTGTCTGACCTGAGACCATGTTCATAATTGTTACATTTTTCTGTCTCTGTTTCTTATCAATCCTTTTTCCACTAGAAAAAAAACAACTTTCTTTTCAGAAAGCCTTAAATGTTGTGATGAGGTTACTGATTGGGTAACAGGAGAACATCTTAGCTTTATTTGTTTGTAATAAAGAGGGAGGGGGTGGTTGTGTGCTGTAGAGTCGGTTCCAACTCATAGTGAGCAGGTATAGAGTTTCCAAGGCTGTGAATCTTTATGAGAGCAAAACGCTTCATCTTTTCCTGTGGAGGGGCTGGTAGATTTAAACTTCTGACCTGTGGTCAGTAGCCCACTGTGTGTCCCAGTCCACCACCAGGGCTCCTTAAAGAGGGAGGTACTAAGTAAGAATCAAGATTTCATTAGATAGTAATGGGATAAATGGCTTATATCACAAGTATCTGGGGTAGGTGCTAAGAATGTTTTTACCTTTAGTCAACAATGATAAGAAGAGTCCATCAAGCTCTGGTAGTGTAGTGGTTACGAATCAGACTGTGAACTGCAAGATCAGCAGTTCGAAACTACCAGCTGTTCTGCAGGAGAAAGATGAGGCTTTCTGCTCCTGTAAAGATTTACAGCCTCAGAAACCTTATGCAGGGTCGCTATGAGTCGAAATTGACTCCATGGCACATAACAACAACAACAACACATGTCATGTAGAACATGAACATCTCTCCTGCTGTTGATTGGCATCCTGGTTCTCTGAATCACTAGCTGTGTGAGCTGCACGGGTTACTTAACCTCTCTAAATGCTTATAAAATGCATTTTACTTTGCCTACCCGGTCCCCTCAGTGGCTCTGAATGAGCTAATCCAGAGGCTCAATTAAGGACAAGTTGTTATTGCCAAGAACACGGGAAGATGAAAACTATTCAACACAGTAATGCCTTTTCATGTTGCTGAAAATCATCTCAATGGATGTACACAGATAGCTACAATGGGGTGAGATTGGCTTTGTTGATATAAGAAATCTGAGTATGTTCACCGTGGAATGAGGTCAATCATTCAAGAGCAAAAGGGTAACATTTACCTAAGGACAAACTTGAGAAGGATGGGAATGTGGGTGGAATGGAGACAACAGTCACAAAGAGGAAATAGGATTACTGTTGTTCCAGGGAGGGGAGTGCAATCATTGAGATGAAACCAAATGTATGATTTGTTGGATATAAAACTGATCATCTTGCCTGCAAACCTTCATTCAATTCACAATAAAAAGTTTTGAAAACAGCAGAGAAATGTGAATGAAAGTGCTAGGGGAGAGGGGCCACATTCAGCTGGTGGCTTTAGGGACCACTCAGAGGAGAAGGTATTATTCCGTTCAGCCAGCTTTTCCTGCAGTGTGCAGTGCACTTATGCGTCAGTGCTTGGGGGGATGGTTTTGGGTGGAACTCTGACATGACATGAAATAACTGCGAATTCTCTGACCAGAAGAGGATTCCTTTCTCAGGAGAATCTCTGGACTTGGTGCCAGTGCTCTCAAACACAAACACAGAGAGAGCAGGACCCAGACTCTGGATACGGGTCATCTACGTAGATGTTGTGTTGCTTTCCTGCTTTTATGGAAAGTATTACTGGTTTTAATATATTTTAATATAAAGTAGTAGTTCAGAGTTTTCTTTATAAACTTCTCTAGGCAAGAAGAGAACTCTTAGGTGATATAAACAGCTTAGGCTTAATTACTGACTTAAGGAAGAGCAGCAGTTCAAATCCACCCAGCAGTGTTGGAAAGCAAAGGGCTGGCATTCTGCTTCCAAAAAAAATAACAGCCAAGAAAAACCAATGAAACAATTCTCCTCTGTAACATGGGGTCGCTATGAATCAACTTGATGGTAACGGGTGAACAAAAGAAAAATTAAAAGTGATTTAAAGAAAAAATACTAAGTACATGTTGTTGTCAGGTGCCATCGAGTCGGAACCGACTCATAGCGACCCCATGCACAGCAGAATGAAACAATGTCAGATCCTGGGCCTACCTCACTACCGCTGCCACACCCGAGTCCATCAATGATGCCACCTGGCTGATCCATCTCGTTAGAGGTCTTCCTCTTTTTCTCTAAGTACATATCACATGTTTAATTCATGGATTGTGACATGAATTATTACATGTGACCATAGATATGTCATGGATTATGACAAATGGTATATCATAATGTTAATATGTTAAGCAATTGAGTTTCAGCAGACTCTCAGGCTATGAAAGAAGTTTAGTGAGGACAGTAAAGATTCCTTGCATAGATAAAACTTGAATAAAGGGACATGATGAACAAATAGTGTTTTTGGAGAGTAAAAAATGATTTAATTTGGGTTATCAAGGCTCATCTGATAAGTAATAAAGTAATAAAACTGTGTTAAACAATATTAAAATTTCATTAGTAGTGAAGTTCTACAAACCTTTCAATAATAGTTGATATTCCTAAACTGCTATTGCTTTGTCTTTTTTTAATGGAAAATTTTTGTTTGTTTGTTTCTGTAGATCAGAAGAGAAAATTAAGCACTTCAGTCAACTTAAATCTGAGCTCTTTCTTAAAGATAATACTTTGAGGAAGATATTTTGTTTAATTACACAACTTAAAGTAGCAGCTCAGAAAAACTTCATTCTGAAAAGGCTTTTCTGGAAAGTAGGTGTTTGTTTCTGATCTTTAAAACTTGTTTCATCTATTTATCAAATGTGCTTGTGCGGCTTGTTGTTACTGTTGGTAGGTGCCATCAAGTCGGTTCCACCTCAGAGTGACCCTGTATAGAGTTTCCAAGGAGTGGCTGGTGGGTTTGAATTGGTGACCTCATGGTTCAAGCTGACCTTGCAGTCCTGTGCATTATCCTGCAGTGCTACATATTCAAGCATAAATTAAAATATAAATAAATGCCTTGTATTCTGATGCTGCAATTCAAAATGTTGATTAATAGGATCATGTCTTAACACTTGAACATTTTGTGTGAAATCAATAATGTAGCTATGTGGGAGACAGGGCAAGGATGGAGAGACAGAAGGGGAGTGATAACAAAAAGTTAGTAGCTCCCAAGGACTGGATTGGCCTTGGGAGCAAATATAAGATATAGAAGAGAAGCTCTGGCATGTGCGATGTGGTAGTACAGAAAGAAAGATGGGAAAGTAGATTTCAAGTTGTGCTGCTATGAAGGTTCCCCAATAATAAAGATATATCTTAAAATATTACTTTGAAGCCTTGTTGTTGTGTGCTGTTGAGTTGATTTCATCTCAGTGACCCTATGGGACAGAATAGAACTTCCCCAGAGAATTTCCTAGACTGTAGCTCTGATGAGATCAGATCGCCAGTTCTTTTAAAATCCTGTGGAGTTACTGGTGGGTCTGATCTGCCAACTTTCAGTTAGCATGGAAGGACTGGTGTGTGT